GATGGGAAGTATGAAGGAATAGAGGTGGGTGCCTAAGGCATAATGGGTAATAGATCCTCTTCCTGTTGCAGACCATTGTTAAGGTGTACCCATCCTCCTCCTTGCTCCCAAGATGACTCATTTCTCAATTAAGATATCTTTTCATTGCCTGGTGGAGAGATGGTCCATGCCCTCTGGGAATATGATCTCTGAATGCAAGGCCTGACTCTGTGGGAGGCTGTGTGAGAGATAGGATGCTCTGATGGGTGCCGGCATCTGGGATCTGGATGAAAGAGAAAACAACACTCCAACTGCTTCAAAAAAGGTGGTCCTGGCCTGTAATCCTAGCTGCTGGGGAGGCTGAGGCAGGAGGATCACAAGTTTAAGTCCAGCCTAAGCAATTTAGAGAGACCCTGTCTTAAAAATTAAACATTAAAAAAGGATTGGGAAGGGCTAAGGTTGTGGCTCAGTGGTAGAGTGCTCGCCTAGCACGCGCAAGGTGCTTGGTTCCATCCTCAGCACCACATAAAAATAAAAATAAAAATAAAGGTATTGTGTTCAACTACAACTAAAAAAAAAAAAATGTAAAAGGACTGGGAATGTAGCACAGTGGTAAAGTGCCTTTGGGTTAGGTCCCTAGTACCCCTCCCCACCACCACCACACACAAAAAGACTGTTTCAAATTCAACTTTTCGGAACTTTTTGTTGTTGTTGTTGTTCTATGTCTTTTCACATAAGCAACTTCTAATCAAGCTTGACTATAGCTGAAACTTTGTTTTACCCAAGAAAAGGAACTCGAAAATTAATTAGTTGAGTTTTATAAGGTAAATGTTTTGAGAAACATTTCACACTTGTGAAACCATGTGTCAACATTGTGTCATTTGGTAGCCTTAAATGAGGCACGTATTTCAATTCATGGAAATTGGTGTCTGCTCCTAGAATGTGCCACATCACTTACAGCCCCAGCTTTCACTTTTCTCCCTTACTTAAGTCTGAGCTACAGAAGGAGTGGGAGCTGTCTCTTCACTTTGATAGAGTACTTAAAAAGTTCCAGGGTCCATGGTATGAAGGCCTACTTTGTGAGCAGACACAGTAGAGGTGAAGCACACAGGACTGAAGAGACCCCTTCTTGTAGGGCTCTTCAAGGCCATTCTTTCCAGACAAAAAAAGTAGCAGAGCACGTTTCACATCTCTCTCTCCTGGTCCTTTGAGTGAATACACAATTCTAAGTGTCTTTTATTATAGCCAGGTAAGTAATGGCCAGGTGTGGTGGGGCATGCCTGTAATCTCAGCCTTTTGGGAGGCTGAGGCAGGAGGATTGAGAGTTCAAAACCAGCCTCAACAATTTAGTGGGATCCTAAGCAACTCAGTAAGACCTTGTCTCTAAATAAATTATTAAAAAGGCTGGGGATGTAGCTCAGTAGTAAAGTGCCTATGAGTTCAATCCCCTGTACCAAAACAAAATTGTTGCACTACAAATTGTAGATAGCCTGAGAAATGTAGCAGATAGAGATGTAGCAAAAACATTTGTGTAGCATTAGGCACTGACAGTGCTTTTTGGTGTGTCTCAGGGTGGAGAGAGATGAGCGAAAAAGGTAAGATGTTCATAAGTACTTCCACAAAGTGAATGTGTTCCCTCAGAGGGATATACAGGGCTTAAAAGCCAGGCTTAGGGTTTGGAAGAGAGGGAAAGAAAGGGTCAAGGAACACTAAATACGTTCTTGTCATGAGAAAGCTAATATGTCATTCCCTGTGCTGAATATACTGCATTTAGATAAAAATATAAATGGGTCATGACTGAATAAGGTTACACAAACTAAGATGATTTACATCTATTACAATTACAGTTGTCTCCATTTCAAATTCTGTTCAAATAGCTGAAACTTTGATTTTGAGCACATTTGAGTTTTAAAAATAAAAAAGATCTTGTCTACTAAAGAAGCCTTATTTAAAATGTCTCTTCTGGTCGCCCTTTGGGAAAGTGTGCTGGGTTTTAAGATCTGACTGTGACTAAGACAGACATGACAGCTGCCTTCAAGGAACTTTAGTTCTGCTGGAGAGTATGTAAGAAGAGCACTTAGGTGCTGGGCTGTCGCTCAGCTTACCTGGCATGCTGGAGGCCCAGGATTCCATCCCTAGCTCTGTCTGGGTGGGGGGGGGGAGAGAAGAAAAGAAAAAAAAGTAGAAGTGCAAGTGAACAATAATAAATAAATTGCATAAACAACATCAACATCAGAGAGTGATAAACAAGTAGCAGAAAAAAAAATATAAAGAAAAAGACATAAACAAGAATATATCATTAAATATGGCACATGCATATGTGAACATATCATTAAATATGACACATTAAATATGAAAATCAAAATGAACTTTGTCAGTTTGGAATCCGGGGTCTGAGGATCTAGATCTATTTTGTGGAAATAGCAGAGGAAATAGAAGTAGAGATGGCCATGGGAAAGATGAGTAGGACTTCCAAAGGGCTGGCCATCTTTGAGGAGGAGGTTTGGGTAGAAATGTTTCCCTGAGCCATCCCTAGAAAGTCTCACTGCTGACACACAGGTTGCTGACACACATATCAGCCTGCTCTACTCTATTATTCAAGTGTCTGTAAGGAGGGACCATTTATCCATGTACAGAGGATTCTGTACCCAGGCCGGTGCTCCTTCAACCCTCCAGGAGAGTTGGAGTCTAAAGCTCATACCCTCATCTATTCCTAACAGATATTTATGCCATCTATAATCTAACTGTGGCAATTTTGACAAAAAATGCAAACTATTTCTCATGTTGCCGTCCCTTGCCCCCACATGGGAGCCTAAGGGGATCAATCATAAGTACCAGTCTGGGGCTGGAGTTGTGGCTCAGTGGTAGAGTGCTTGCCTAGCACGTTGTGAGGCCCTGGGTTCAATCCTCAAGCACCGCATGAAAATAAGTAAATAAAATAAAGGTATTGTGTACAACTAAAAAATAAATATTTAAAGAAATAAGTACCAGTCTGGTTGATAGTAATGATGCCATGATAAATTGGGCTGTAACACATGATAAAAACTTGTTATAAATCAGGAATTGTCCTAAGAATTATACATAAGGTATAGTTTATTACATATTTATGCATGTGTCATATTTAATTTTTAAAACAATCTGTAGTGGATGTATGATTCCTTTCATGTAAAAGAAGTAACCAAGATTCCCAGAGCCTAATTTCAAGGTTATTCTCAATAAGTGTCAGTGCAACTGCCATTTAAGCCCCATATATCCTTATCGCTTAAAGCATCATCATCATAATACTTATCATCAAGTTTTCTTTGGACCTTTCACCGTTTTCTAAGGGTCATTTCATCTTACTTTCCCAATTTCCTTCCTTCCTTTCTGTATTTTTCAGCAGATGTTATTTTTATATTTGGAGAAAAATGTGTTGCCAAAAACAATTGTGGTGACAAATTTATCTCAGTGGATTTTCCAATTGCTCAAAGTCCTTTTATGTTTGAAAATCCTTGGTTTAAGATGTTGTACAGGCAAGACACCATTCCTAATTATTGTCCTTGTGAGTGTTGAATTTCTCTCATGTAGCACAGAAAACAGTTATCTCTTTCCTAATTATTCTATCTCCTTCATTAAGTTTTAATGCACCGAACCATTTGTGACTGTGGGAAATTTGAAAACATTTTGTTTGCATAGAAAAATACTAGATTACAAGTGTTCCTTTTTGGAGTCTTTCAGAAAGCTTTTACTTTTCTTAGTAAATATAGAATTTTCAGGCTGGCCTGTGAAATCTAGGGTAAACACTGGCTAGAATAATGCTGTGTAACACAAATCTTCAATCAGAAGGAGAGTTCCCTATGTTCTATTTTTTTTTTTTTTACCCTGCAC